GACGCAGGCTTTCATCGACCAGTTCCAGGTGCGCTCGGCCATGAGATGCTTTATTTTTGTTTACAACTCATTTTGTTCCCAAGACTGATGTCGAAAGTCTCGCTCAACGCAAGTTTCATCCCAAGCTTTCCTTGAAAGACCAGGATCCAAAGATCAAGGCCCAAGTCGTGGCGGAGGTAAGTTGATGCCCCAGCGGGACTGTGTCTAACCCTGCCCAGATTCTCAAGAAGTACCCCATTGTCGACAAGTTCATTGACCACTGGCCTCTTGAGAAGGTTCTTATCAGAATTTGCAAGAACTCGGCGGCGAAATGGAGAAGGTAGCTGCCCCAAAGACGGATCCAAATACGTAATGAATATATATGCACCACCATGTACATGGCCAGTAGAGATAAATATTTACGTCCAGAATCCCTTCCATTACACCTAAAGCTCTGCGTAGCCATAATTCTGTAAAATGTAATTAGAAAGATTCACCTTACAACAAAACCACTGCTGATCGCGCCCGCGACGTGGATCGTTGACGCCACGTGATTGCGTCGACCGCTCACACTTACAGCCAGACACAACAATTTTCATTGCACTGATACATAATACAAAGCAGTTTCAAGGTAGAAAAAGAATCATTATCTAACAAAAAACAATTGTAAGACAAAGCATCCCGATAGAACACAAAGCGTATGAACTACAAAGCGGCAAACTGTATAAATTGGTCTGGCGTCAGTCCCGCACTTGCTCACATTCCCCCTCCTCACCCCCACCCCCCGATTCCACGCGTTTGCCGCGGGAACAGCGATGTCAGACCACGACCACGATGTGGAGATGGGTCACCATCACAGTGCTACGTCGCCCTCTGCTCAGGCACTGCCATTCTTAAGTTGATCGAGCAATGATTGACGATTTATAGCGCATTCGAGTCTCCCATGATCAGGTTGTCTCCAGTAAACGCTCAGCGATGGCTGGTCCGGGGCAAGAGAGACTGGACGATGTGAGTGGCACATTTGAGCTCAGAAGTGATACTGATCTCTCGAAGGCACGTCGAAACGAAGACTTTCACAAGCAAGCAGCCGCGCACGCGAGGCAAGACCGTCGATTTGTAAATCAAGAGAACGAAACTCTCCGGCGTCAGCTCGCGACCTTTCAAAACAACTTTCGAGCCAGTGAAGAGGAGCGCCACCGTTTACAACAGTTCATCTTGGAGAGTCAGCGCAAGATTGCAGAGTTGGAGCGTGGTGAAGCGGATTTACATGGCCAGATCATGGATGATCAAGACCAACTGCAAAAATTGGTATGTCTGTCATGATCGCATTTGACGGGTGAATTATTGAGTCTGTACTACAGGCGGGAGAGGCAGCCGATGCTAGGCAAGTCCACGACAACGATGTCCGCGCCCTTCACAATCAGATTCACGCTCGAGAAGAGGAAGTGGAGCAACTTCGACAAACGATCAGGAGGAATGCGCGTTCGAAAGTGAGCAACAGTCCGACAGCAAAACGGCGTGGACGTGTCAGCACGGAGCTATTCAATCCCGGACGCCCCGCTTTGATTCAGCTCCCACTCGATCCTGCACCCGTTCCCGCTAGTGCTGGACCATCGCGGCCAACTGTAGACTTGGCTATCGCGGATGTTGCGAAATCGTTGGACGTCGATGCTGATGTGCTCTCCAAGTTAATGGGAGTAATGGAACTGGTGAATAATGGACGTGCCCGTGTGATGATTGGTTCGACAAACGGTGGAGGGAAACAGAGTAAGCGCAAAGCGCAGGAGAAAGCGGCCGTTGCTCCCCAAACAGGTGATCTAGTGAAAAAGGCACATGTAAGTTGCGATTCGCTATGACTGGGAAAAGATACTAACTGGTGTCAGGCCATGATGCGCCAGGTGACCTATCAAAGATTCGGCTGCGAGCAGGCCACAGACTTCATCTTCCACACGCCTGCAACGGAGGAAGAAGTGGAAGCTTTCGCCAACGATGACCAAGCCTGCATCCGCAAATGGCAGTTTGACTTCAGCGAGGGATATACCAGCTCCGCTTGGAATATGGCAGTGTTGGAGCGACTTGTTGCAGAAGCTGAGAAGGAAGATAACGACGGCATGGGCTACGTCCGAAAGGGTCTCATTCAGCGCGAGTTCCTCGCGTACATCGCTGCTGAGCAACTCGCCCGATACCGCGGCAATTGGAAGCAGTTCCAACCGAAGTGGGACCCGAGTAAGGATCGTATGGAGACCAGGGCTGAAGCGATTGCCCGTGGCCAAGTCATCTTGTTCCAGCGTCGGATGTCGTCCAAGACGATAAATGCTCAACACGATGTATGTGCTTCCTTTCGGAAACGATTCTTCGTCTGATCCAATCCACTAGAAATACAACCATTGTCACAACACCGTTCAGTCGACGATCACCCTGAAGGAAGAGGATGGTGCAAACAATCTTGCGACTTGGAAGAGGATGTTGGATCTCTTGGTGTTGCTTGGTGCGAATGGAATGTCTGAGGAGGAGGAGACACCCGCAACCCACATGGGATCCAAGATTCGGACGTATAAGATTCTGCTGTGTTGGTGGCGGGAGCCCGTCATTGCGGATTACATGCGCATGGTGGACGTCCAAACGGCGCACTTCCAGACACTTCAAACTGGTGCAAAGCCCGCTCCTCGCGTTCGCGGACAGACGTACGGATCCAGAGCTGTCCCGAAAGGACTCCCGGAGAGTTTGTATAACAAAGACTGGCTCAAATCACTCTCCCCAAAGGAACTCAAGGAAGTGAAGGTGTCAAAGCAAGTATTCACGTTGTTTGTGGCGGCAACTGAGCGCATGGGATTTTAGAGTATATGTAGATATCGTAGTAGAGGTCAATCGCATCGCAATGAACAATCTCGATGCCCTGAGCGAATGGACCTCTATCAACGTCATACGTCTGATAGAAGTGAAGCAAGCGTCGACGATACCGGTGACAGACACCTGATAGCGAGCGAAGCCATGGAAGACCCTGAGAAGAGTCGGTTTGACAATGGTATAGTTCCGGTGGCAGACACCTGGAACCATGAGTACATCGTCGTTCGAGACAAGGGTGATCGTACACGTGAGGAGCACAATCACGTGCTTTGATCTTTGATCTCATCCTTTGCGACGCGTTCAGACTCAATCGAGTCTTAGCTCTCAAAGCACACATTCAAGGGCTCGATTACAGATTCACAAGTCTGAACACATTTCACTTGAGTTGTCACTATCTAATATGCACGTATACAAACGATATCTGAGTAAAAGCAAAGTACATAATCTCATCAGTCTGTCGATCCGCCAACGATACGGCGCACAGCATGAACTTCTTTCTCTTTAGCCTTAGTTCTCCCCTCTTTGATGCGCTCGAGCCCACTATGAATGCTCTTGATGTGTACATGAGCAGGGATCCTCGAACCTGTCAATCCAGGTGCAGCGACTCTTTCTCGAAGATTTTCGATATCGTCACTCATTTGGGTGAGGGTTTGGAGTGCAGAGATAACGTGGACCAACGCTTGTTTGCGGTAGTTCCCAAGACCCTCCAAAAGCTTCAAATGATTCTGGTATCCACGCAGCTGTTTGCGGTTTCCGCCTAGCACAGTCCACAGATTGGACAATAGCTTGGTTTTGGCGGCAGAGAAGAAGATATCTTTGCGTGTGACGATCTCGTGGAGAACGGACAATTGTTCTTCGAGCTTGTTCAAGTTGTGCAGGTTGATCTCGAATTCCACAACGAGCCTTTGGAGAGTAAACGATAGATAGTTCATCGAGTCTTCAAATGTGTTGAGTATAACGTCCGCTTTTGGTCGATTCCATGGAATTAGCCTATTCCACAGTGCGAGGGCAAAGTTCTCTTCCGCGGCTTCAATGGCATGTAGAGCGTAATCATTGACTGCCATGATCCTGGGTAGTATATCAGCGAGTGCTAAGACGGAATCTGAGTTGACTTACCCATCCACTGCACCGGAGACTTTTGCGTTGAGTTTGTTCAAGGAGCGTCCAGTGAGTCGCGCGTCGTCGACAAAGGTGCGGAGAGCATCGGTCAATGCCTCGCGACTCGTGAGCTTGCTCACTCCGACCAAAATCACTAGATCCGTCGTAGCTATCTCCGCTTTCTTCATTTGAAGTGCTAGGGAGGATCCGGAGGTCGATTCATCCAAAAGTTGCTCGATAGTCGAGGTCTGCAGGCTGATTAAGGACGGGAAATCTGCCCACTGTGGAGTTCCCTTGTTCGACAGAGATTGCGCAGGCACGCAGAGCATGGAGCTACTGAGTCCAGGAATCGAGCAAAGCGGCCGGAAAGCAGCCTGGATGGTATGTGACATGGCCCCGAAAAGGAAGGCAAGCATCCAGATGAACAGGAAAACTGTCAAAGGGATACGAAGGAGCAGGATAGCACCCTTGAAAACCCTGAAGATGTACAAGCCGGTGAATGCGCCGCCGTCAACGACGTGTTGCGTGGTTACGACCGGCTTAACATTGCACAAACTGGAGGTGCGTTGAACACGCTCGTATGGAGCTTCCACCAATCCATCCCGTACTCTTTGCGTACTTGCCATGAAGTGCGCTGTAGAACCAGCGACGCCGACAAAAAAGACGCGAGTTAGATGGTTCCAGTGACAAACACTTGGAAGCCAATATGGTTATTGTAGAGGGTAGATGATTCAAATGGCAGTCCAAGCCAATTTGTTGGTGGTTGAAAGAGAAGAGAGGTTCCGGTGGCAAACACCTGGAACCCATTGAGGACTTAAGTCTCGTTTGAGACAAAGAAGTGGGATGCGTCACAAGATCCATTGATGATCCATGGATCGTTTGATGATCGATGGATCATCAATGGATCATCCACGTGCTGCGATCTGACTTGCCTCGACCTCCTGACTTGCCCTTCGTCCTCCACCTCCATGAATCAACGCGGGAATAGCAGAAGGCAAGAACCCAGGCGTTTGCCGCCGAGTTCCGCTCGAGAACCGACGCGTTTGCCGCGCAGTTCTCCGCCTTCCGCTCCTACAATGTTGCCCAAGGTCAACTCTCATTGTCTGATTCCCATCGCCCATTTGGACGCTATCGAGAAAGAGAGTCTCCCTGTGAGTAAACGTCTCCTCAAATGTTTTGAAATACGTCCTGACTTATCTGCAGCCCTCAGCATACTTTCACGGCGTCATCCGTAACGAGATCGGGGTCTTCGTCGTCTTCAACGCGGACTCTCCCGCTCTTTTTGATATCCCTCGCCCCCATAAAGACTCTGATGCATGTCCGGCACTATACTCGACGAGCTGGGCTAGCTATTCCCGTGCTTATCTATGCTGTGGACCACGTCGCCCGATCTTCGACGGGGACCTTCTTTCCGTTCTCGACATCGACTCCCGCTCCCTTCCGACGAGCAAAACCACGTCCTCGAGTGGATCACAATGGAGTCTCTCATCTGATCTCGTTGAGAAGTGGAGCGGTCTAGAAGGGTTTCTGTGCAAGGTCGTTACTGCTTTACGGTCCGAGGTGCAGGGACTTGTCCCAGCTGGGATCGTATTGCATGCGAAGCCTGCTGCTCATGGTTACTTGAACACATATGACGTTGAAGAAGACCTTCTCAGAGCCGTATATCACTCAAGAGACGTGTTCACCCCTCTTCTCGCTGCTATTGCACTCCATTTCGTTGCTTTGGATGGATCCAACCAGAACACGTCGTGGAGAACGAGACTCATCCAGCAGCTCAATCTTCAGCACAGACTGTTGGACTCGTTGGAGGAGTTGGTTCAACGATTCCTCCGGCATCCAGCTGGAATGATCTTGGACCTTACTCTCCAAAGTGTCCAAGATGCCGACTGGCTCTTGGTCTCCTGATCAACGGAACCGCCGTCATCAACCCCCCAATCTATCTCTTCCTGGGCAAAGGCGAAGAAGCTGTGAAACTGGCATCGCGTCTAGAGGTGTTCCCCTCCATGCAGAACATCCAATTGAATGTTCAGGCCTCGATCCGCGCTTTGAATCAATCACCGCCGAACCCGGTATCCGTCTTGAAATACGTCTTCGCTCCGAGGATCATGAGACGAGACGGAGTCTTCATTAACCCAGAGTACTACGAGACTTTGGAGAGACGCCGACAGCAGTTCCCACCAGTTGAGGCCCACAGTGGCCAGAAGGAGGGAGAGAGTTTCACCGAGTTCTTTGCTCGGCGCAAAGCGCGCAAGCTTGCGGAGGAAAGTCCGAAACAATTGCAAACTCGCCTCCAACGCGAAAACGCTGCGAGAAGCCAAAATTGCCCGGGCCGGAAAGGTGCCAGAGTTTTCATGTGGGAACAGACCGAAGGGTTCTACATCCGTCGACTGGTTCAACGCAATTGCGTTGAAGACGAATGGTCCGATTTCGCTCCCTCACAGCGGGTGTACGATTCCTTCTCCAACAAGTGGGATCTTTGCTCGCCACTCGACCCCGTGGCTCGAGCCGAACCGAGCGACGACAACGACAACGACAACGACGACTTCGCCGACATATATGGCAGGGAAGCTCCGCTTCAGGCGGGAGACTTCGATGCCGAGATGCCCGACGGACTTCCTCCTCAAGTGCAATCCACGCTTGGGAATACGACGGCTGTTCTCCAAAATCTCGACACCTACCACAAGGAAAACCGCGAAGATATACAGCTTCTGAACGCACCTATTGTGGATGTCGCAGACCGGAACCCTGTCAGAGCCACCCTCGAGTACCGTGTCGGGTTCACCGGCGAGCCACGCGAGCCACGAGATCTAGACGAGCTCAAGAGGCCAGAGCGCACGTTTGACGACTCTGAACTGATGGATGTCGGCTTGTGCCGCCGCTTTCTTGGGTATGCGGGTTCTTCAAGGCCGCAGCCACTGAGCCATGCGGCTCGAGCTCTGATGCTTGCGCTCAAAGGCACTAAGCGTGTCAATGACCTTCCGCCCGACCTCTTTGATCTAGCAGACAATGCACTGCAACTTAACGTCTGGAGCAAGAAAGGTGTCGAGCTATTTGTATGGCGGCGTTTGAGCGGTCCAGCTCATTGTATGTTCGTGTACGTGTTGCATCCTGCCGAGGAAGGATCCACCGGTCGGAAGCTGTACGTTTCAGATGCCACCACCGCCATTCAAGTCGCCCGACTTCGTTGTTCCACTTGGGCGGCACTCATATCTTGCCTGTTCGATCTTGGGTGCGAGTTTCACATCGTCACTGAAGCTTCCACGTTCGCAGCATCGTCCTATCGACCGGATCAATACCGGTGTCGCAGTCTCGGAGTCCGCCCAGAGGATTACAATCCAGATGAGCAGGATCGTCTCATCTACTGGGACATGATGCGTTCGTTCCTTCTTTCCCCCCGTGGTCGACTTGCCCTCCAAGCAGGAGGGATTATCGCACGCCTAGCACGTCTGGTGATCGAAGATGCAGAGCTTGAGCTGAGATCTCATTTGTCGATGTCGGGACCGCCGAGGAACGCATCGTGAATGGTGGCACATCGCTGTATCAGCATTGCTTAACTCAGGAAGAAGAAGATCTAGTTCTGGGCGTTTACAGCATCGAAATGAGTAGGTTCTGTCTTTAACGATTCTACATTTGCTAATATCCGCCTCTTCAGACCAGCTGGATCCCAATGCTCGCAATGGGCATCAGGAGAAGCGCATTTCGTGGTGGCCTCAAGCAGGAGCATGGTATTCGTCTGGTTTGAGTGTTGGCTGGTGGACGCCGGATTGCGAGAGCTGGTTCCAAGGGATTCTGGATGAGATGAAGACCAACAAGGCTGCCGTAATCAACAACACCAACTGGAAGCAGCGAATCCGTGGCTACAGCGCTGCGGGTAAACTTGCCAAGAACCTCGAAGCTGTTCACGCTGATTTTATTGCAACCTTACCGTACGAAGATATATAGATACATACCATCGTAATCATCTGTACCTTTTATAATACGCTATCAACTGCTTTCATGTGTGCTGAAACGACGGGCAACGGACGAGCGACCGATGAGCGACCGATCATTCGTGGATAGATAAAATGGGACATGATATCGGAGATATCGGGGCGGACTTTTTTCGGACCGCGATATCTCAGATATCATAAACGCTTATCTTTGACTTATTTGGAGGATATTGAGCCCCAAATCGTGTGCCACCATCTGTCAATAAAAATTGGACCCTTATATTCGACCAAACATGTCTCAAAAAGTGCCCGACATTTTGGGATATTATATCTCATCAATACTGACCCTTTTTGGGACACAATAACTAATGTAACCGGAATCCGATCAATGACCATTTTTCTTAAGATAAAGAGTTGCTGATTGTGGCTCTGTTTTTGTGTTACAATATTTAAAATAAAAATCTATCTTTATGGCTCATTTTTTAAACATCTGGCGGTGTGCGAAGATCTGTTGTTTGGCTGGCAGGATCCCGGACTAGTAACATCAAACATCTCAGAAAAAACCTACCGAGAGAGAAATATATGACGGATATAACAAATCCTCCCTGTCCCTACAATGTCACTATCGTTGATTTGGGTGGAACGGAGCTTAAATTTCCGCCCAGGTGGTCTCATTCTGGCAGTTGATTCTACAGGACCACCGATCGACTACACTCTGGCAAACCCATCTTGCGTCTCTCAATCATAGCCGCTGTGTCCTTTCACAATGTCGAACACCGGGCCGCCCTTTCCGTACATCGCACGTAGATCATCGACGAGCGAATGCGGAGCTTCATACGCAGGAAAATGGCCTCCACGCTCGTGCTTGTTACGGTGTACGATGTTTCCGGAGGCATTGGTCCAGCTGGAAGAGATGGATATCGAAGATCAGCGCACGTTTTTGGGGCCGAAGGAACACACACACCTAACTGGGATATTGACCTTTTCTCCCGCGAAGTGAGACATGCCCATCGGGATAGTCGGGTAATCTGCGGGTCCATAGATGTCCTTTGTCACATCCGACCGACCCTCTGCAAACTCATAATAGATGCGACTGGCCGCAGTGGCCCCGCGGGGAGAACCAGTAGATAGATATCCAGGTCAGGACTGTGGCTAATGCGTGACTAGCCGAAAACGAAGAGGAAAGGATCACGCACCTTCGTCGTCATTCCAGGGATACTTGTCCGCCAATTCCACCAGTTTCTCGTAGATCCAGGCCAGTAGTCCGACGGGGGAATCGGCCAGCGCGTAGCCGACAGTTTGGGGTCGCGTCGATTGCTGGGCATGGAATCCTCTCGAGCGGCTGTTGAACCGTCCCGTCTGCGCAAGACCGTCTTTTTCCTCCTGCGTCAACCCTCTTACACACAAAGCCAAAAATGAAAGCGGCTCGTAGTAAAGCGTCGGTGGACGTCCCCTAGATTGAATCAGATCAAAGAGTGGCGTCTAGTTGCACGGAGCACACACAAGGGCAAGTTGGTGTGCCAGGCTTTGTTGTGCTGGTGGCCATAGCGCTTCGCGATGCGGCGCGTGATCTGCGAGATTGTTGAACAGAAACACTGGAGATGGATCGTGGATCAGCGTACGAAGTAGCCCCAGTCGCCCCCTTGTGTGACTGAATCCATGTGTCAGAGTCGAAGACGTTTGAGCTCAGGTCATCTCACCGTATTCGTTGTAACCCAACGCAAGCATGATCTTGTGGCCGACCTACGCCTTGTCAGACTCTTGAGCGTATACGAATGCTGCGCATAAGAACCTCAGCATGCTGGTCAATGGCGAATCCCTTCTTTCTCGGGGCCTCAGAGAACCCGCACCCTGGTAGACTCATCACAACAACGTGGAAACTCGGATGTTCACTCGAACGCGCGACAAGCAACGGCACGATCTTCCTTGCCTCGAAGAAGCTGCCCGGCCCTAGCGAGAAAAAGCACCATCAGTCCACTTGAAGACCCGATCCTAACCCGCAACTCACACCCGTGCACGAACAACAGCGGGACTGCGCCCTGTACTACGCTCCTCTGATGAACGTAGTGGACGTTGAGCGTCCCGTGGCCGTCCACAGCGATGTCGCGGGTGAACTGAGGCAGTTCCGCATTGAGAGCAGCTTCGTGCGTGCGCCAGTCGTACCCGTCGCGCCATCGGGCGACGAGCCGCTTGATGTCTGCCAGTGGCACGCCGTAGTCCCACGCCGCCTCGTCCAGCTCGTCCGGCAATCTCGTCGCTTTGAGTTTTTGGTGAAGCGAGGCCAGGGCATCGTCCGATACGGCGATGGTGTACGGCGTTTCCGACATCGGTGAGCGTAGAGATAGCTGGGCGAGTCGCCCAGAACTCGGGAAGGAAAGGACTTTTGGATCTGTGGGACACGGGGACACTTTTTAAGTGAATCGGGTGGGTACCGTGGTTCCTGAGGTTCCGCCCAATATCATATTGTTCGTCAGCTGCAATGGCCTCAGCTCGAGCGCTGACAGTGCCCGACTGCAACATCCTACAGGCCCGGTGTGAATTGCTTGCTGACAGCACTGAGATGAAGCGACGGAAGCTCAGTATCACGCACTGCGTCGCTGTGACAGATTCGCCCGTTTGTGTTTGATGAGTGGTACTGGGTGGTGCGTTTCTTCTCCTTGATTATGTCATGGACTCGCTGGGCGATCATGGGATGAATGTCCACAGGTCCAAACACCGACAGCGTGTCATTCGCACGCACACTTCATACCATATCAACACATCGGTGCATGCTGATCGTCTAAACAATGAGCTGAGCCTATCAAGCGCGCACCAACGGCGGGGTGTTTCTCACAAATCGCAATCCCTCTCTGTGTCACCATGGGCAATTGCACTGCGCAGCACGGTTCTAGACGCTCTATGGTCTTTCTCAGAAGCCAAGCGGGTGGTTTCCGGTGTCTGGATGCTACTCAAGTCATTATCTCTGACGAAGCTCCCTTGCCGAACTCTTCTCGGCACCCGTGGTGTAAGCGGCGGTTTGACGCTCGAGCGTCCAATGCTGATGGCGAGAAACCCGGTCATTTCTTGTTACTACGCGTTTGGGGGATGTGGCAGAGGGCAAATGATATATAAAGCTCCTCATAGTGTCTACTTCGGTCATGTTCGCGAGCGCGATTTTCTTGCTGGTACGCCCTGAAGGACATATTCAGCAACTGGATCTCGCCTCTCAAGCTCATTGTTGGTCCACCATGTGCGAAACCGCTCAAGGGACCCGATACGTTGTTCTTTGTGCAACAAACCGAGCGATGGAGCTTGTTCCGTGTGTTGATGCGACGTGGAGTCTTCGCAGAATGTACCGGATACCACGACTGGTGGCGAGCGCAATGCGAGCCGACATTCACAGCCAAGGGACTCTTCGTCGTGGGCAATCCGTCAACAGGGCGTTCTCTGGAGCTAAGGCTATTCGGCTTTCCCGGCGAATGATCTCTGCACCAGAGATCTGAAGGCCGCTTCTCACATCTTGCCCCGTGCTGTTCACTCCAAGATCAATCCTGGTGGACGGGATCTAAGTAGGGAAGACTTGTTGCCGTTCAGTAAACCGTATGTCGACCGTCAAGACGAGAGTCTTCCTCTCGTTTCAATCTTTCTATCATCAGGAACGTGCGGCACTGAACGGAAGACATAAAAGAGATAGGATCTGCAAGGCCCAGCTTTGCACTATCTCGATTCTAGCTATCAACACCAACAAGGAGCTCTGAGAGAGAAAGCACTTGAATGAAGTCTGCTGGGCTCTGTGCTTCCACATAAATTGTTGATGATCTTCCAGGCCTGATTGCTGGGACAGTCGGCCGGAAGCCGTGCACACCACTCCGGGATTCTGGGCCTACCAGCTCGTAAATAGATTTCTTGCTTTGCGCAGACCTATAGAATCTGGGGATTGCACATCCGGCTAAATTCCTCTCGAATCATGTGGCACTCTCAAAACGCCTGGATGGCGAACGTCATGTGCCAGCTGAAAAGGAAGGGAGAAGCAGTGACTTTAGCAAGAACACACATGGTGCGTTGGACATACACCGTCGAACCCATGTTTTATCGCAGCCAAATTTACGCGCAGATCATGAGCAATCAGTTGGGATCACGGAAATCGGCGGTCGGAATTCGAAGACTTCAGAATTTTAAAGGGACAGGAAGACGTTGGTTGTAATCTCAGACTACTTCAACCGGAAGGCAAAAAACGTTCCAGATGGTGCGTTGCAGTTGAATGATTGGGGAGACAGAGAACACGTCACCTGATCAGGGCACGTCATCCACCTGCACCAAGCACAGGCACACACCATCTGTTCGTCGGCTCACAATCTATCCGAATACCTCGCTCATTCCGAATAAGCAACGGATCATCCCACTCATACCTGTTGATTGAGATGTGCGACGGATGTTGTTGTGGATCTTTCACTATACCCTGACACCTGGACTCGCGCCTGGTCTGGCTCCGAGCCGTTCCCGCGGCACACCATCGGTCTACAGAAGCAGCCGACCGTCACAATTGCCGAGGAGCCTGGTCATATCTGTACTTATATCTGAGCCCCAGTGGCCTCATCGCATCGCCCTGCAGAGCTGCCCTACCCCGCAATGTTAGACACGGGGCAGCCTTCGAGCTCCAGCGCGGCGCCCGCACCACCAGCACGGGAGGATCTGTACTCCGGCGAGGACGGTGCGTGGTGGTATTCATCCATCTTTGCCAGATCTTTGGTCTGACTCAGACCCCCTCCCCATTCCATTCCGCTTGCAGGCATCCGCCTCCTCGACGCGTTCCTCCCCGCAGCGCCCTCTACGACTCGCCCGCGCGCGAGCCCGTCCCACGCTGCCACGGGCAGACCCGCAAGCCCGTCTTCTCGAGCATCCTCGCATGGACAGAGAACGTGCGCCTGCGTGTCGGCCCGCGCATCATGTGGCTCTGCGGCTCGCCCGGCTGTGGCAAATCGGCCGTCGCGCAGACCGTGGCGGAGTACTGCGCGGCGCACCGCGGGCCGGGGTCGCTCGGCGCGACGTTCTTCTTCGACCACGCGGACGCGGAGGTGTGCGACGTGCAGGCCGTGGTGCCTGCCATCGCGCGGCAGCTGGCGGAGCGGATCCCCGCACTCAGGCCGCACATCTCCCAAGCGGTGCAGCAAGATACGGCGATCCGCACGCGCGATGTCGAGGTCCAGGCGCATGAACTTATACTGGAGCCGTTTGCGGCCTTGGCAGGAGTCGGTGTCGATGTTGCGGCGATGGATCCGGTGTTGGTCGTGATTGATGCGTTGGATGCTTGTGTCGGAGGGGAGAATCAGCGCGTTCTTCTGTCTCTGATTGCGCGCTTGATCGCAGTGCACCACCTCCCGCTATACTTCTTTGTCACCTCCCGACCGTCGCCCGACATTCTCCTGGCGATCAACAGCCCGACATCCGGCCCATTCGTCTCCATCTTCACCTCGACGAGCTCACGTTCGACGCGGACATCTTCTCTTTCTCAAAGCCGAATTCGCGCACATCGAGGCCACACATCCGGCGTTCCAGGCCACTGCTGAGTCCGAGCACTGGCCCACAGAGGACATCATCCATTTCCTCGTCAACACGACTGCCCGCCATTTCCTGTACGCTGCGACGGTCATGCAATATGTCGGCCATCCAGATGGCCTGCCTTCGCAGAGGCTGAGCGAGGTGCTTTCTGCTGCCGCGAATCCTGCGATCGGCAGGAGTCCTTTCGAGCAGCTGGTCACGTATATCCTCTCGACTGTCTCGCCACGTGATCCCGGACCGGACCGGCTTCCCTGCTCCGTGCGCTTGGCTCGCTCACGGTCCTGTACAAGCCATTGGCGTTCAATGAGCTGCGAAACCTTCTCGACCCCATCGAACAAGAAGCGGTCAAAGCGCTGAAAACTGCGTCTCCGGTCGTCCACGTACCGGAGGACAGCCCGGCGTTGGATCTCGCGAGCACCCCATGGAACCCGGGCCACAAGCGCCGACGCACGATCCGGATCCCCCAGCGAAACACGATCGAGTTTCTGTTCGACGCAAGACGCGCGCCCGGCCATCTGTGGGTCAATCACGGCATCCACCACGGGGAGATGGCGAGGCGGTGCATCCGGTTTCTGGGGCACGGGATGGACGATGCCGAGGATGGGGTCGACCTGTGCGCGTGCAGACTGTTACGGGGATGTTGATTCTCATCCGTTTGCATAGGATTACGTACCAGTATGTGCGAAAGCGGTGGACGAAGCATCTGGCGCATGCACTGCCGTCGGCAGGCCTGCTCGATGCGCTGAGGCAGTCAGATTCGTCTACTCGCGGGTGGCAGCCGAAGCCACCGCTGTGATATCGTGGCTCCAGGTATGCCTAGCTCTGTTTCGTTTCTTTCTCCATGCTGATTATACCTCCCAGATGCTTTCGGACCCCCCGCACGACATCCTCAATCTATGGCAGGATTGGCTGGCGAAAATCCAGGTCGAGCCAGTTATTGGTCGTTTGGTTTGATTTTTAGGGATACCGGACTATTGTTTGCGTCGCCATGTTTTATTACGATCATCCCCGGTCTCTGCCTGAATTCAGAGTAGATATGGACCTGCCTTCTCTGGTTCAAGATAAGACATGTTACTGCCCAAGGCCAAGGCCAGCATCCAGCGATCATTGATCTGTCAATCATCTACTTACAGTGACAAAAACTGACATTTCTCGATCTTTGGGAGAGTCCCATGAAACGCATAGAGGACCTGCTAAGGGCATACACTCTCCAAAGGAAGATAGACTGCAGCTAGGAAGCTCGTGCTCTATATAGATCCAAATCCCGCCTACATCAAGTTCAGGAAGAGTTTTACAATGCTTGCCAATTCGATCGGTACATGAGAAGGAGAATCTTATGAATCTTGTGCGTTCACCCACTGAAAGGAACTATTCATAGCAAGCAGTGCGACTCGAACCGCCGCGATGTGCAGCGAACTGAGCGCAGACGATTCGCTAGGTTAAGTTCGATACGGAATTCTTGAGCGTATACCAAAACAGCTTCCGACCCATCGCAGAGGAGTCGATGGCTCTTCGCAGAGAGTGATTTTTCTGTTCGATATCAAGAACCTGTTGAAGCTTGTTTGTATTAGCGACTATCACAGTATGTAGACATGACATCATAAGTAGTATTCTTAGATTACTTTGGCTCGCTCCACAATGACCTCATACCTGACCTCATTATTGCGTCATCCATTACTCATCTATGATATCATTACTCCACTATGACATCATGATATCTGCTCCAGACTGGTATATAAACCTAGTACTATACGCTCCATATCCTCAGCTCCTGTGTCTTACACTCGCTGAGGTATGCATTCTCCCTTACGATCTAATGACCTTACTTATGACTTGTACCATAGACTCTGTCTTATAGGTACAGCTAATGATATAGCTCCTGTGTCTCTACACTCGCTGAGACTCTGTCTTATAGGTGATCGCTACTGGTCGTATCTCACTGCGCGGTATTGTCTGCGACAGAACCCGCTGGTCCAGACACAGCGCCCGTAATAAGAAAAGGCGCGTGGTTGGTGTTCAACGTTCGCGCTGATTCTTGCTTCATGCATTTATGATCTCATTGGTTGTATCTGCGTATAACTTCACCGTGATAAAAGCAGGGTTTTACTGAAGCTCGAGATGACAGGCTATCCTATTCATATATATTGCTCGAAGGTGCACTGCCTTCTGAAGTAAGAAGGTTCGTCACGACCTCCTGTAGAACTATAGCGGAGAGCAGGCAACCTGTGTGTTCACAAAAATTCTCCCACATGGTACAGATTCATCTGAGTTTAACTTCTCATTCGAACTTTGTGCAAAAAAAAAGTTGGGATTACTGTACTTGATCTTACCTGCTCTGATATCTAGGGATCAACATTGCAGGCTGATGAGAAATTCTGAAAGACATGAATGACTGTGCAGAATTCTTAACACCTAAGAGTCCCCCAAAAAGGGACGTACTCGCCGAGCTAGCGACTGTTTTCACTCATGTGTTCATCTTGTGCGAATGGACATCACACGTGATCGTGTCGCCAGCCACCTGCGTGCACCGCCACAGACCCAGACCCTATCAGACGTTTTTGGATTACTCGGGCCCTCTCACAGGGTCTCCGAAACGCAGACAGAAGACAATGGATCTCTCGAGTCGGTGGGTTGCGAGAAATATGAGCCTTTCTCAAAGGACTGACGCTGACGATTCCCCGAAGCGGCAATTCGAAGACAAAGGCAAATGGCTACGCCATTGTCCTAACCGAGCGCTTGGTCCCACCGTGCCGCCTCGTTTCCAATCCGAGTGGGCTTTATAACCGGAGCTCTGTGGGCGCCGCAAGCCCTTCGTACAAAGCCGTCGCCTCCACTCTCTCCTTTCCCATGTCAACTATGGACCCAGTGTGTGTGTCCTATACCCGCATTACGACTTCCGCACCGCGCATTACGACGATGCCACCGAGTTCAACGAAGACGAGCGTCCGAAATCCCGTCCTGCTCGCGTGCGCGACCAACTCGAGACGGTTTCGAACAGTTTGAGGACATGGAGATGGCACTGGGCACGATCGATGATGAGCCTCCTTCGGTTTATACGCACCACAGACACGTCGCCGAGATCGTCGAGCCGCTGCGCGCCGTCGTGATGCGGCGGCCAAGCTCTCCTTCGCGACCATCACTCGAACGCGGCGGGCGCTCAACGTACACGCGCGCCCATTCGTGCGGGCGCCCAGCGGTGGCGCTCCCCCTCCGCATCGTCCGATTCGTCGTGCTCGGATCCCGAGACGCTAGTGGACAAGTACTATGGCGACGGGGAGGATGCGGACCAGTTTGGCTTCACGGTGATGGAGAGCGAGCTGTTTGGGTACTGCATGGAGCAGCTGGACCGCGGGACGGATCCGGTTTCGGTCATTTCGCACCTCTTGCGCCGTGCCACCGAGGATGCGGCCAATGTAATCAGTGTGTGTCTTGTCGCGGAGCGCCTGGGGCAGCATTACCTCGGAGGAATGAAGAGCTGGAACCACCTGGTAGAGGAGGAGGTTGTTAAGACATTCAGTTCGTATTGGAAGGTACGGCATCTTTCCAGAATCAAGGCCTGGATGGCGCTGACATTGAGTTTAGCCCACTGGAGGTTGGTCCATCGAACTGCACCTACCGACGCCTTACGACTCGCCCTACTCCCGAGGCTTCAACCTCGCTCGCGTGGTCGGAGCCCTGCATGAGCACTCCCTCCTGACCGCCCGCACCTTCCACTCCGTCCTGACCTTCCTCGCCGAAGACGTCGAGCCCTCGTTGTTTCGACTCACCGCCATCAGCGAGGCTCTGCAGAAGGCTGGCTCGAATCTCGAAGCGACAGATGTCCGGCGGGTGCTGATGGGCCTCAGAGGCTTGGGGCTCTGACGACTGGGTGTGTGTCTGCGATTGTGAAGAAGAGGTTCGTCTGGGCATGGTGCCGGCGAGCCAGACTCTGTGTTGGTCCGTCTACTTTCCTCCTCTCCACTAATACATTGCAGAGGCTGATAGTTTCTAGAATATCTTTCGCCTGCTGCAGGATCTGGAATGACTGTTTTCTCAGCATATGTCCGTAACGTAATCGTCGAAGAACATTGTATATACAAGTCCAAAGGACAGCACAGAGCACAGGCAGACATGTATTCAATTCGATACCCCATCCAATTGCTTTTGAATGATGATTTCGTTGACACTGAAAAATCCAGTTTATCGAGTCTTCGCTGATAAACTGTACTATATTTTGACCATACATTTCAAGTGGATGAGTGGTAGGATGGCTATAAGTACTGTCATCTTTGAGAAAGGAGAGGCGTTTGACGATGAGCTGGAGTAGTTTGTGAGCATTTTGCAGGTCTGAAGTACCGAAGCGGTGTCACAGCCAAGCGTGTCGCATCAGATGCGCTGCCCGCCATTTGATCCTAAAATCGGGTGATCGACCCTGAGGTAATCGATTGGGTAACGATGGCAACCGGGTCACAGCACTTTTGACCTCCCATTGGCATCTCCTTCACAATCTACGCACGCAGCCCATCGCAATCGCCGAGAAGATCTTCTGCAATGACCACAACTACAAAAGCAAAAACGCCACTTCGGCTAGACGAGAACGCTCTCCTGCACCCGGTCCTCGTCCAATCCCCGGTCTCTCCTACACCTACTGCCACGTCGAATCCGATTGGGAGCGACTTCCGAGCGACGGGGACAACTCCGATATTACAGCAGGGCTCCTCCGCAACTGGCCTGCCCTCCGCTGGCGGTTCCACTCCAACGCCACTCTCCGCCAAACGGGTGTCATTCCACCGCCTCGTCCTCTGCACCTCGCACCCCAACAACCCCAGGTTTCGGCGAGCTGCTCAGCAGCACGCGGCCCGCGCCCTCATCACCCGGCCTGTCCCGGCGCACCTCCCTCGCCCGATCGTCGTCCTCCGCCTCTGTGCGGAGCGGGTCCGCCAGCGCGAGCCACAGCCGCCGAACTCGAAAGTGCTGGCGGGTGTTAGGCATCGCCTGAGCCAGAGCATCAGTGCTGCGGACGTCACGGGCGTGGCGACTGCCAGCATGCCTGCGGACGGCGCCGGCGCGGCGGACGATCTGGTGGTGACTGTCGCCTCCTCACCCGAGGGGATGCCGGGCTCCGCGCAGGCCATCGCGGCCCGCCGCGCACCCATCGTCATCCGCGACTTTGCGTTCGACGGGAAGGATCCGCGGCACGCGGGCCAGGGCCGGACGTGCCCCGCCTGAACGACCGCGTGTGCTGCGCCGGCGGCTGCTGGGCGAGAGCCGGCAGTCGGATTACGGCCCGGGCGAGGACGACGTGGACATCGACGAGGACGAAGACGGGGTCGACAACGGCTGGGGTGGCCTCGGTCGGTTCGGCCTGTGGGGCACTGTCGGGTCGTCGTCAGGATCGGGGTCGCTGCCCTCGCCCGGCCGGACGTGTCGTCTGCTGACCTGGCGCGCAACTTTGCTGCCGACGACGAAAACGATGACGAACCGTATGACGACTACGCTGATGTTCCTGTCCCCCCTGGGCTGTCAGGCACAGTTCGCTTTCGAGCCGGAGGACACGTCGGAGATGTCACTGGTTGAAGGGCAAATTGTGCGAGTCGTCGAGAGCAGCGGGCTGGTGCCGGAGGGCAGTGGCAATAGCTCGCACGCCACCGCTGCTGACCGGACATGGATCTGCTGGCATTGAACCGACTTGTAGGCGCCAGAGAGGACGCCGGTGCCATGTGGGGCGAACTTTGGGAACAATATGTCGGACAGCCGAACAAAACGGAGCGGGGCCGGACCGCAGAGCGCTCGCACCTGAGAGTTTTCTGGTGTGCATCCGGAGAGATGGCGAGCTGGAGGACGGCGGGGCAGAACGCTGGCGGCGTATCTGGAGTGGGTGGAGCAAGAGCGTGCGAGGCAGGAAGCAGAGGATGCGGGTCATCAGGACGAGCTCAACGCTGAGCATGCTTAGCGTCATTGCCTCTGTCTGTCTGCAGGGTTATTCGGCTTGGGCTGGACAGGCCGCTCTGCGCGACACGACGCGCGGCATGCTGTGTGCTATTCGGATTCCTCGCAAAGGACGGAATGATGGCTGTCCCTGTCCTGTCTGTCTGTCTGCTTTCGAGCATCTGTTTCAAATCATAGACCCTGCTGCCGAAACGACGACGGACATGTCTCTTTCATAGACTTTCGTGGTAATATGCACTTGGGCTTTTGCCATCTCACCGCAGCTGTATTATATCATCACATAACAGCACTGTGTACAATTCAATTATCCGTCTCGACATCTGAACGAGGGTTTTTCGCCAAGTAGCAAACCCGTAGCTCGCGAAGTCACGCATGGGCGAGCGCCTCCAACGCAGAAGCATCCGCACAGGATTCGAAAATGGCGTCACTGGGAACCCAATGGAGCTTGATAAAAGCTGATCTGGCCATTAGCATGAGGAGGCATTATACCAGAGTTCGCAATCACCGCCAGTCGCTGGGCCCCGGTGTCCCCACGAGAACCCAGGGCTGCATACAGCGCATGTGGTGCCAGCCTCCGGTTCGGGAGACGCAGTACCGTCGAGGTCGTCCGCCGGAGGAGAAGCGTGCCCAGCAATCGTTGAGCAAAAGGACAGATTGGATGGGAGCTGATCATGAAACGGTGCCTGCGGGCCTCATTCTGACTTTTGCATTTGGTCGTCCGGCGGCGAACAGGGTGCTCGCGACACGAAGATCGAGTCTAACAGCGGGTGGCTCGATGGCTGGATGGCTGCTGTAAAGGACATGGGAGTTGGAGTGGGTGGGGCCAGCGCTTCATCTTGGATGCGGTGGGTCGCTGTGCGCGTCGGGCCGTGCTGTTAGTAAAACAGCCCTGTCCTCTTCGGGACTGGGGGCCGGGGATACTCAGGTACCGACAGGAGAAGGCCCGGGCACTACGTAGGAGCTCTGATTATCCCATG